ATGCTGTTGTTTTGAAATGCGCTTCCTGAACAAAGTTATTCACATGTCAGGAAGATGTCATCGAGTCATGTTCTCAGTCAGACCGGCTGGCCTGCTTCATCCTATTTTTGTTGTGGATGTAAATGGAGGATGACTGGGTGTGTCAGTAAGGGCAGGTATTCTTATATATTTTTTACACTACTCTTTGTTCGACTGTTGATGTTTATTGTGTTATTATCCTGCTTGCTTCGTCTGTCAAAGCACTTTGGAGACATCTGTTTTTAAAGGTGCTATATAAATAAAGCAATTATTAATATTATTACCTGTGTACTATGGTCTTGATTGGCACTGTCTCTCATGCTGTGTTTGTGCAGATCTTGTGCAGTATGGGTAATGTGCAATATATGTTGTGTTGTCTTGCATTGGTATGTGTCTTTCTGTTTCGACATGTGGATGTGTTTTTTTTTTATTGTTTTTATTAATTAATTTGAGTGGAAGCAGCTGAATGTTTGGCAGCACTGTGAGTCCAAAAAGAAGAAAGACTTTTCCCCAAAGGGTCAATAAAGTGCATCGTATGGTATTACTATCTAGCACATCTCACATCTCACTTGACCTGACATGACACATGAAGAATGTGTTTGATATTTTGAAATGGAAATAGTTGTAAAATTATGGAGGTTTGCCATTGTAAGCCGAGTGTTTCCCCTACCATTATATTAGGGGCCCCAACGGCCACCCTTGAAGGTCAAGTTAAATTATTATTTTTTTTTTAGATTTATTTTTGGGCTTTTTGTGCCTTTATTGTAGAGATAGGATAGTGGATAGGGTCGGAAATCAGGGAAATAAGTCATTTAAGGAGACCTTTCCGATAGAACAGGACAGCTGTCATTAAAAGTAACACATGAACACCAAGATTCCTTCATGTGTTTGTGCCGGTGTCCGTTTTTTTTAAACCTGCAAACACCCATCTGTGTTCCTGAGGAGCTCAACAACAAACACAATGACGCAGAACATAAACCTTTCAGAGGAACTGATTTTTCTTTTGATATAGGCGTGAGGTTTTTGGCATTAACATCAGCCAAAAACATCTGAAAATACTGGTCTGTCAGGGAGATAGTCGTGGAAAGTGCTGTTGCATTCATACCACAAGTATGTAAAAAACAAAACATCATCAAGGCTTATTTTACCCTAAACTTGTGTTTGTTGCATTAACTGGATAGTGGTTGGGGCTGCAATCATGTTAAGACATTGATTATGAATGTAAGGTATCCTATGGTACCTGAAATGTGTGTAAGTGTGTAACCCTCTTTTATGGGTTAATAACCTTCTCCAGTTCTTCTGGCTGTGGGTTATAAGCAGACAATATCTCCTCCAACAGTTTTCTTCTTTATTCAATTCTAATAAACACTAAAACAAAAAGACAGTACAGCACAGTGTTCCACTCCAAGATTACAGAAGTTGCGTCATGCTAAAGCTGCACAATGACAGGTATTTTTTCCCCTACCTGTCGCCCCATGTATGGAGGGAGGGTGGTCTGGCCTGTGGTTCCTTTCCTATGTCATTCCCCACTCTCTCTCCCTGATTTCGGACTCTATCCACTGTCCTTTCTCTAAATAAAAGCATCAAAATAATACTAAAATAACATTACACAAAGGCTGTTAACTATTTTGTCAGATGTCAACTAGTAGTGACATTTATAATGATAACTTTAAAATGTTTTATCAATTTTGTACCAAATACAATATTTTTCTGCAAGTCATATACAGCCATCATTGTTGATTTCAGACTGTTTTATAACCAGCCAAAAATGCCTCCCATGAACATTTTTATCATCTGAGGCATGCTTAAGTAAGGGCGAGGCTGTTTGGTTCTTTCAGAATTAATTACACGCAGCTTACTGAATCTGTTCAGCACATTAGTTTCATTACGTGTCTCAAAACTTTAATTGCACAAAAGAAAACTTTTAATAATAGACTGAGAGTCTGTTTGTACAGTATATTGAAGTACCTGGGAAGTGTTCATGAGATGTGTGTTTCTTGGGGGGGAAAGCACAAAAAAGAATCCGACATTCTCTTCAGTGACATAAATATTGAGTTATATGTTATGACAAATGTTGTGGTTTAAAGAAATGGATTTCATTCACAGATTCTTTGCTACAATAAATATAATACTCACTCACCCAAGGTCAAATGTATGCTGCACTTGGGGAGCTGGTGGCGCATCGGTTAGTGCACGCACCCCATGTATAGAGGCTGGAGTCCTCCAAGCGGGCACCCCAGGTTCAAATCCAACTTGTGGCTCCTTTCCCCCATGTCATTCCCTACTCTCTCTCTGCCTGAGTTCCTAATATATCCACTGTTCAATAAAAGGAAGGCCTATATTTAATCAATAAATGAGTACTACTCATACTTAAGGCAGGATGATATTGATGGAGGTTATTGAGGTGGAACTTAATTTCAACATTTGAAGGACTAATGAATTTAGAATTATTTTTTCAATGAGTATGTGATTTGTAATAAAATTTATAGTGAGAAATGTCATCGTTATGTCCCAGGGCCTAAAGTGAGGCCTTTCATATGCTTGATGTTTTTTCAAACCAACAGTCGAACCAAATAACAAAGACAATCTAAGTAAAAAAAGCTCCTCACATTTGAAGAATAATGAAATGTTTTAACACTGATTGTATACTGAATCATCTATCAATCCATTAAGGGATTTAGCATGAATGTTATTTTCTCAAAGCCCAGTGCAGTACTTGTTCAAAATCCCTGGTAGCAGCACTGAGCTGAAGAACAGACTGTAGAGAGAAACATGGACTTCGATAACGATGTGTGGGCACGTGTGTGTGTGTGTGTGTGTGTGTGTGTGTGTGCGCGTGCGCGCGTGTGTGTGTGTGTGCGTGCGTGTGTGTGCGTGTGCGTGTGTGTGCGTGTGCGTGTGTGTGTGTGTGACAGAGATGAAGAGACAGAGCAGGGTCAGGGCGGGATCACAGTGGAGCGTGTTTAAGTGGAGCAGGTGTAAATAAATCAGACTGACCCAGTTTAAGCAGCTGAGGTCCTGACAACCCCTCCCCCCTCCCCTCCCCACCAAGTTTCTACATTATAAAGTAGTCTCCATCAGTCTGCTGTAAAGAAAAGAAAAGAAAGTGTGTAGTACTTAGCACTTAATAATAATAATAATAATAATAATAATAATAATACATTTTATTTGTAATGCACTTTATATTTTTGGAAAAAAATCTCAAAGTACTCTTCTGCCCTCCTGTGATGTTTCACACATAATGATGGACAGACCATAATCTGTCTATCAATACGATGGATAGAGCAACAGCCACCTAAGAGTGAAGCCAAAATATTTAGCAATCGTCCTGGTTGGCTTTAGAGTAGATCATTACACTCGCCGACTTTAAGTTAACAGAGGGGACATGGGTCAAATTATAAAGTTAAAATACAAATCGATCAAATCAAATCATTTTAGTCCAACAGAGATTATGTCATAATAGTTGTCATCATGCTAATTTATGTCCAAGTGTTCATCTTTCTGAGAGTTTTTGTTTTAATTATAGCTATTGGATGTAAAAAATAAAAAAATAAAAAAGTTGTCTTGTCATGGTTGACAAGTGTGACTCTTTGTATCGTTCCCAACCAGATTAGAAAAGAAGAAACCATTAAATAGAGCCCACCTGTCAATCATGTCAGCGCAACTATGGATAGTACGTAGTGTTCATAAAATCAAATCAGAGCCGATAAAAAAGAAAAATCACCCTCCGTACAGTGTGTGCCCATGATAACAATAGCTCAGGGGTGCCCAAACAGTCGATCGCGATCGACAGGTAGATCGCTGACTGATTCTCAGTCGATCGAGATGTTTTGTCAATATGAAATACAATTGTAAAATAGAAAAGTGATTTCAATTTCATCTCATTGCACTGTTTCCCACACACGATACCTGTGCTGGGAGCCCAAGAATACTTCCGACCTGTGTGTATTTAATTTTTCATTTATTCATGAAATTGCTGCGTGCATGAGAGAGCGAGCGAGAGAGCGCGCGCAAGAGAGAGCGCAGGCATGCGCAATGACGTGCAGGTAAAACCGGGAGGGTAAATGTTTTACCAAAAAGTCATATATAGAAACTATGCTACGAGTATTAAGCGCATTTGATGAAGCTGCAGCTACTTTTCTCTGCTCCTCTCTGCTGTCATGACTGTGAGCATCGCGGGGCACGAGACACACCAACATACAGCGCAAACGCGCACACACACACACACACACACACACACACACACACACACACACACACACACACACACACACACACACACACACACAGTTGATCCGTGATCCGTACGGACCGAGGCGTGAACACACGTGACCCGGTCAAACAGTCGGTTGGACTTTACTCCGTTCACTCTCACCGTGTCTGCAGCTAATTTAACAAAAGCAAAATCATCTCACAGCAGCCTGCTGTAGTCTGTGAACATCTCCACACAGATTAAAGTTGTTTGTTGTAAACAAAATTAAGGGGAAAACATATGTGATATAAATACAAACGTAATATTAAAATGTAGCCTACCCTAAAATAAGAGTTTAAAAAAAAAAGTATGTCGATATTGCATTATTTTTTACAGAACTCTATTTATTATATCTGAAATTATTTTCTGTTTGTTGTGTGAGTATTAAATGCGTTTGTAGGCTGTTGGTAAAGGCTACGGCTCACTATGTGGACTGGTAGATCTCGGCAGACTGGCAACTTTAAAAGTAGATCTTGGTTCAAAAAAGGTTGGGCACCCCTGCAATAGCTAATCAAACCTATTTTGTTTTTTTTGTACCAGGCTGTAAACATTTTAATTTATGCTGTGGTGTGTATGTGACTTCCGGGGCTCGATGAACTGCAGGATTTTGCGTGTCCGCATTGGCTTAATTTTTTAAGATTACAGTAATGATAACTTGAATAAACTGCTTCACATAAGCTATATCCACACACGGTCTAAGTGAATGAGTAAAGAAACAAAGACATGCAAGTGGATTTAAAACTTCTTTTTATTTCACTTCTGTGTTTTTTAAGGGGGAAAAAAATCAGTTCTGAAGCTTAGTTAATATCAGAAACACAAATTGCAAGTGTGTGTGTTGTGTGTATAAATTACAGGGTTAATTGTAGATTAGATTGTGTGGGTGTGTGTGTGTGGGTGGGTGTGTGTGTGTGTGTGTGTGTGTGTGTTTTCTCGCATTTTAAGAGTGAGTCTGTACATTGACATGCATTGAAAAGGCTTCAGGTGTGTCTAAGGAGCGGCATCATGGTGACTAACAGGAGGGTAAACCCTTGACCTGTGTGATGTCAACCTACATGGACCAAAAGCATGTGGATGCATATAACCTGATTAAATTCATCTCTGAGAGTTAAAATGTGTTGTGACATCAGTGTTTTGCACAGTGGAGTATGATGCAGAGGCAGATGTACAACAACAGCAGGAGGAGGATTATATTAATGAGGTTAGGTTAAACATTAGATGAAGACTTTTTAGGATTAAGTAACATAAGAGGTCAAATGGTTGAGCTATAGCAATAAATGCATAAGTTTCTCTTCTCTCATTGGACAGGTACATGTAGCAACAGGAAGTGATTGCAGGTCTGACGGAGGATTTTCTGAGAGAGAAAAAAAAGTAAAAGAAAGGGAATTAATCAGTTTTAGTTTTAAAAGCTGTAATGCATGTGCAAAGCTCATTAGTTCACTTAGCTTTAAAAGGTAAATGAGATATTGCATTTAACACAGCTCATCTAACAATTATTGACTTATCATTGTTTCACAGAATAGTAGTTACATTTTTTTCTGATGATTCGCATATGCAACTTAATGTTTGGTTAATATTTGAAAGTATTTTCAAGGAAAAGTTTGAACATGCCTCAATCTCAGGTATCTCTAAATTACATGTTTTAAAACATTTTGAATGCCTGATAAGACTCCTGACGAAGATGTGTTGATATTCTTCACAAGTCTAATGCTTAAAAATGTTTGTTTTTTTTCTTACTCAAACATTGTATCTCTGTATTTCACCATTTTGGAAGTGAAATAGGAAACAATAGTAACCTGAGATTGATAAACAGAACCAGAGGGGAAATTTATAACATTCAAAGGAATTGCAACCTTTTAGGTGACTCTTCTCACCTATTGTGCAGCCTGATCAGTCTGTCCTCCAACGTCTATTTTTGGGAGGTCAGTCTGCAGGAGGAACAAAGCAAAGTCACATGACAGAAACTCGAATCTCATCCACTCTATACAAAGCTGCATTTCTCCCAGAACAAATTGACCTGTTATTAATTACACAAGTGTAACTAATACCATGAATAATGTATGCGGCCCATTGAGGTGCCCCAGTCACCTGCTGAACAGGTTTATGTGGTGCAGAGCCGATAAAGAGTTTTGGTGTTGGCATGAAATCTGATGGGACTAAATTGGACCTTTTTCCATTTCAGCAGTTTCACAGCATTTTAAGATTAAATCGCCACTTGGCATCCATGTTTGTTTGGTCTGTGACGGATGATTTGTGTCATTGTTACCAGCAGAGGTTCAGTGTGTAGTCTTTTGTATATTACTCAGTTGTCATGTTTTTGCTCCCACCTGGTTGACAGAGACAAATATTGGTTGGTGTTTACATGTTTTATGTTGTTTTGCCAGTCTTTAGGCTCCCGAGTTGAAATGGAAAGATGCCATCATTAGTTTTATTGGTTGCACCTTTGATTCTGCTCTAACAAGTCAAAATGTGTAGAGCAAAATAAAACTTTTGAACAGTCCAACCTTTTTAATATGTGTGTTCTTGTAAAACTCTCTTTCCCAAAAGCAATCACAATAAAGGACCCTTTGTTTTTTTTTTTACTCCATCAGCTAATTTGTCATTTAGAATTATAGCAATCTATTGTGTTAGGGTAACTTTTTACTAGAGATTTAACCCGGTTACACCATTTGCTGTGGGAGAAGTGTGGCTTTATTACAATAGATGTTAAAACAGCAAGACAAAAACTTTTGAAGGTGCTTAAAGATAAAGCCAAATCATTTTTGCGCCTCCTATGCAGAAATATTACAGTTTATAAAAGTCTGATGAAGCCATTGAATAGAGCTGAAAGAAACAGCCGTGTTAGTCATTGTTCATGTGCTGACAGTGCCACGTTCAAGCTGATACTTCATGTTTCACTCCAGCATTCGGCCCCCTGGTGCATGTCCTCCCCTTTTTATTAAGATAAATACTTAAAATGTTAAATGTTTCTCTCTGTGTAAAGGCTACAGGTTAGTAGAGTCAAGAAAAGTGTCATCAGCACAAATATGCACATGGCAGAATAAGCAGAACAAACAACAAGTTTTTCATTACCATCAACAAACCATGCATTTCCTTCTTCATGCTTTGTTAGTGCTCAAAATCTCTGACTGGTTCCACCTTAATGATGTACAAAGTGGACAGAACTTGCTGTATAAGCATTAACACTACAAAACATATGTGGTCCAATTGGTTCCTTTTCAACTCAGCAATTGGTGCATCTTGGTAATGGCTTCAACATGTATTGCATTAGGGATTCGATCGCCTTTCTGTTGGTTTTCACCGTGGTTTTGCTCCATCTAACATTGCTCACCCTAACCCACTGGGTCCGTTTCTGAAGCGAAAGCACAGCCATGAGCAGCTGGACTCGTGGTTTGACAACATCATTGGAGAACAACAAGATCACTTGGGAATAAAGAGAACAACGGATATACAACACGTTTCTTTGTCTTTTAGAAGTTGATTTGCTGATTATTTGGTGCCTGTTTTCACATTTGTTGATGAAGTGATGGTATATATGAATGACACATACTTGTAGCAGGCTACGTCGACAATTGAGGCATGTATTTGGATCGGAGCGAAGTTGCTCTGTTGGCACTAGACCTAATTGGACCACAGCACGTGCATTGAAAACACATGCATTGACCAGAGAGGGCGTGAAAAGTTTTGGAATCTGTGGCACTGACAGAACACAGCGCAAACGGATCTCCTGGTAACTGCATCAGTGTTTTTTCAAAGTGGGGGTCACGGTCATTAAAAGATTAACACATCAAAGGACACAGCCTATTGAATGTAGTGATTGAATAACAAAAGAGAAAAACATAATAAAATGATGTTAACTGTTATTATTTCTGTTGATTATTGATTCACAGAAATAAAACTGACTTTTAAAAAAGACATTGAACAAAATCAAAAAATAACAATATTATTAAGTGTTAATAAAAGTAAGCAAACAGACTGTGAAGTTTTGGTTTTAATGTCAATCATATCAATTTGAAAGTAGTTTTCAATAATGGATCCAACAATCAGGTGTCAGTTGCCCAACAGTCTGCCCTGTCATAGCTGTTGTAGCTGAATTATTAAGTAGAGTTAAGACCTGATCTGAACTTGTACACAGGTAAAATAAAGGTGTGTACAATCCTTAAGCAAGGAACATTATTCTGTGGAGCGCAATGCAAATAATTGGCATATTTATGTCTGCAGGCGTTCATTTATATCTTTGATGAGCCAGATGTCTTGAGGATTTGTAGGTAAAAAAAAAAAGTTGTTCTCTTGTTTCATCTCGTGGCAGGATCAGACAATGACTAGTCTCACTATACGACTCATACTTTGAACTTTTTCTCCCAAGTCCAAAAAAACAAACTAAAGAAAAAGAAGATGAACTAGAACCACTGAAATGCATAAACAATGTCACTGAGATCAGAACCAGCTCTACTGCCAACACACAGTTTGCACAATTAAAATGTTGTAATTCTTGCAAAAGTTCCCTGTAAGCCAGCGGGATCCAGTTCCACAACCCCTCCTGGGAATAATGCTGGAAAAGCAGCAGAGATGTCAGAATCAAACAGCTTGAGTTTTTGAAAGGGTTTCTGAAGTCAGTAAGTCGTATTAGGCAACAAGCATCATGCCATGCTCTCATTTAACAGTCCTGACTAATCAGGCACCTCCTCAGCCACTTGTCCTGCCTCCTCCTTTTTCAAGCAAATCACGACATATGTAGGAATGAAGAAAGACACAAAATGAAAGTTATCAACACATCTTAAAATATTTGATTAATCACTGGTCCTGTTCAAGTTTTACAAAAGAGACAGAGGAAATATTTTAAATTGAATATATTCTCTATTATGCGCCATACTTAAAGCACGTTTTTGTTCAAATTAAAATTAAAGTCCATCATGAGAAATAACATTTTTGCAAGGGAAACATTTCATACTGTCTGTATATATTTTGTCGGTTTTAAGTGAATTTAAGATAAAAAAGGGTAGAGACAATGTAAACAGTATATATACGTTTTCAGACATTTATTTTTTGTTTAAACCACTCTTTCTATACCTTAAAAAACACTGCCCCTTTAAAATAAAATGTAAACACATTTCTATATGTAATACGTTTGGCTTACAAGTAAAATAATCAATTAAGTTAATAATGACACTGCAAACAGACTTGTTACAATAAATATAGTATGAATACTGAAGAGTCTTATAAAAACATGTCAAGGTCAATACCTTCTATTTAACTTCATACAACATCAACACAACACTGATGGCCATTGTTATTTAAAGCAACACTATGTAGACTAGCTTTTCCATTAAATAATACTAGTTTCAAAGTTCATCAAATCGTACAACAACTATGAGCAGGCAAAGAAAAAGAGAGACTGACACAGCAAGGAGCTGAGTGTATAGCCTAACCCTGCACATATGATTCACAACAGATTGTGACAAACCGTTAGGCTGTATCATTATCAGTGTCATCCTGGTCTCATGTTTAGCAACTTTACTGGGTGCAGAAAGTCATCTTGCCCAAGTCAGCCTATCTATATCTCTTATCTCTAAACGAATCCATCTTTGTCAAAGGTTGTCTCTACAACCAGCTGTAGATGCTAGTAGAGTCATAATTGCACAAAATCTGGTAATATAACTGTACTTTGTCATTCATGGGTCTTTGGCTCTACGCATAAATGCCCCTCTGCTTGAAAAAGATTGCATGTTGTGTGTGTGTGTGTGTGTGTGTGTGTGTGTGTGTGTGGGGGGGGGGGTATTGGGGTAGGCCAACAGTGCAATTGCACTCAGAGACCTTCAGTCGGCGTGAGAGCACACCAAACAGAATTCCTACATATAGTTGCTTTAATGACAGAATGTGCGATTTTTTGTTTCAGCAGGTGTCGCCCTTGAGCACCAGCATGAAACCAAAACAACTTGTGCTGCATTGTTGTGTTAGCATGCTAATGCTAGCGCTCTTTATTATGCTCGTATCTTCACACTGCATGTAAATTTACCTGAAATGAGCGTGATCTAGAAATGCAGTTAAGCAGTGAGTACAGTATGTTATTCTTTTTTTCTCTAGTCCCTCAATTAAACAACATTTATACGCTGGGGGATGAGCTGGCCGGCTGTACGGGCGATGTAAACAAACTGAAGATAGGACTCGGAAAACTCGGAAAGCATCACAGACAGTGGGACTCGGGTATTGTAGACAGTCATGACTCACAGAGTTATTTTCAGAGGATATACTTGATTTCTATTTAAGTGTGAAAAATCACATATAAAGCCTTTAAATTGGGATCATGTGACATGACATACTCACCGAGCTGACAAAACCACTCTTCAGCGCTGCATTCTCAACCCCCTCCACTGTTACCTGGGCAACCTCGTTCGCTCCGCTAACAGCGGTATCGGCAACAATATTGGCTTGTTCATTCGTCTTCTGGGCAACTGAATAACAGGAAACAGTAAAAGAAGTCCATTAACTACTGTTAGGTATATTTATATATATTACTTTATCATATATACTTTATTATTAGACTGTAGTATATATATATGTATTACTCCAACATATTTGGCAACAAAGTGTAATAAGATTTTGGACAGACTGTGTTTTTGGGTGCAGCCGGTGGTTAACTTACCAGTGTTAACACCTGTTACCACGCCCTCCATCGTCTTGTTTCCTGAAAAAAAGAATAACAAAACATGTTTGCTGAAATTAAAAAAATTAATTTACTCAAAGGCTTTATGATATTAAACCGGAGCAGTTGATGAAATCAAAACAACAAAATCATTTCTTTAATTTTTACATTTTAAATTAAGTTAAGGAGTGTATCATAGAGGATGATGAGCATTCAGCATGTTTAGAAATCCGAGTGCTTTGTTTGATTTCAGTCTAACCAACAGGCCCACAGGGCGATCCAATAAAAGATTATAATGCACTGTACTAAAGTGGAATGATGTTGTTGGTGCCTGGAGGGGAAACTCTGAAACAGAGCAAAGGTTGATCTAGCTCTGCAGGAACTCTTGTGTTGTCTGAGATCTGATTTTTGTTTGATTTGAATATAATCTGCGAGCAAAAATGTAAGTTCATCTGTTAAAAAATTAATTAATGGCTTTAAAGGGATTTGGAAGACATGTTTATGCTATTTCAAGTATTTTCACTTTAGATGTAGGCCTAAAGTAATTAGATAAGTTGTTTAAATGCTAGAATTGTTAATGTACAAGGATGCTTCTCAGTAACTCCTTCCCTTTCATTTGCTCTGATGTTGGGAGAAATCCATCTTTGCTAAAAGTTGTCAAAAGTTTTTCTACAACCGGAGACAACCTTTTGATTTAATGTGTCTTCATTCAGATAAATAGTTTGGCGACCCAGTTGTTTGACTTCTCTATCTTGCTCTTCCTTTTAGAACACTTTGGAAAATGATGGTTTTTCTGTATCAAGTAAAGAGTTAAACTTTTAACGAGTGGTCCTGAGGATTTTTGCGTGTGAAATATGAGCAGGGGAATCTTTAGAGTGTCAAGCTGTGTCTTTGTTCAGTGAAAACAACGTTATTTTTGACTTTGTGAGGTTTGTTTAGGGGACTTGGGCTTGGCACAGACCGAAGGGTTAAAAACATTAAGCGATGAATTGCTTGGGACTAGCAAGTTGTTTTTGAGGCATGATTACATTTTGCCTCTAAAAACCAAAAAAGCTAAATCTTTTGGTGTGGCCTGCACCTGGAATAATAGAGCCAGCATGATGATGTTATTATCTAAATTTTAGACCACATGTATACTTACTAATACTAATATTCCAGGCCCTGATCTGAGAATTTGGTGGAAAAGCCGGCAACAATACCCCACTTACATGTGGTGCTTTGGCTCATTATCTAGAGGGAGGTCATTTAAGGATCTGAGGAGTTGTTGTTTGGTCCAAATTCAGATCGGGAGTAATAGTTCTCCCAGTGGGCAGCAGGCTGCTCAGACATGTGACGGATCAGACTGAACAGACTCTTTGTTTGAGTGAATAAAGTGTGTGATTCACTGTCTGCTGGTCACAAAAAACCCTACAAAACAGAAACACAGTGCATGGACACAGCCGCTGTTTCCAGACAGGCAGCCGACGAGAGTGTTGGACTGATGCCCATCACTGATCTGAAGCTGCTCTATCTGCCACACATCCGTTACAGGAAGGAAGTTTATAACCAGATATAATGTATATTTGATAAGCCCGCAGGTTTATCTCCTCTAATGGATTTGTTTCCTTCCTTCTTAGGAAGGTGCATCAGTGCATTTACAGTCATTAATACAATCGTTATGTTTGACTCTCTATCAAAAGTTCAACTTGGCCAACAAGCTCGCTCAGATTGACCCTTTAGATTTCAGAACTAACAAAAAGAGATAACAAAAAACTGCACCAATAATAACCTGAACCTCCAGGTTCTCCTCCAACAGCTTTTCTTTAAAGCTTATATAGACTTAACTTTGATGCTCAAACTGAACACGTCCCAACACTCATAAATAATGCTTTTGATTTTCATCTCTTTGTGTCCAGTAAGTTACTGTACACCCATCCCCAAACAACAACCAAAAACATGCTAAGTGTTAGAGAAAGCATTGACAAGTCGATAACTGGACAAGCTTAATTTAAAGCAAGTGATACAACAAGTGATATAACAATAGTGACATGAGTTGGTGAAACAGGTTAACTGTTTCATATTGATTTTGCGATGGCGTCGCAGAATCTATATGACAAGTACAAAGACGTGATTACGGCTGAGCCTAGTTAGAGCACTTTGAGGAAATAAAAAAGCAGTCTGGAAAGGGCTATTGATGCAGTCCTGATCACATTTCAACTATTTAAAAAATGTATACTCTACCTGACATGTTTGGTATAACATGTTTATTCAATATGGCTTAACGACACCTGGAAATATTCCCTTTGCCTGATGTGTCAGAAAAACAAACTGGTATGTCATGGTTCTTGAAGCTGCCGTTTCAGCAATCGAGGCTGACCTGTGCCGAGTTAGCGCTTAGCTAGGATTAGTATCAGAATGTATTTGTGGTCATAACAACTACCAGTTGTGAAGAGTTGTCCATGGTCTCAGGTTAGTGGCAATTTGACTAGCCAGTCACTTGTCCACTTAAAACTGGCCTACTGGCACTATGAACTTGGAAAAATATATTTTTCTAAGAATTAATTGAAATAAGTGTGTGAGAGGGATTTGTAAAAACTCATAATCTATCATGTCTACAAAAGGAATAGGTCACAAACAACTTTAAGCAGTGGAGTTTTTTTTTTAATGGAATCAGATAACTGAACTCCCTGTGCAAACCAACGACTCTTTCCAACATTTATTGACTTTATTCTGTTAAATCAGCATCATGTTGCAGATGGATCGATGTGATAGAAACACTTAAAGATGATTTACAGTTCTTTCAACCACTCACACATCAACACAAACCATTGCTTCACCTGCTAAGCCGTGTACTTTCATCATCCGTCAGCAGCATGCAATACGCATTAAGATACAACAACAAGCAACCCAGAGGAGTTTGTCATCACTTCCTGTGGACCAGTGTGTGTTTTGTCAGGGCACTAGAGAATAAACACACACACCATCAGAAATAAATACACCTAGGGAGGTTGCTGTGTGTTTTTTTTATTCCTTAATCTCAAAGCAGTTTAGTTATTTTATGTTTCCCTTTTCAGCAGAGAACACGATAAATAAAAGCTGCAAGCTGATCAATAGTGCTGTGCTGTAAACGCAGAAAGTGATGAGTAGGGCTGCATGATATATTTATCCGGCAGCAGCGTTCTATCGTGCGCATGGGCGTTGATCTAACCGCTGAATACATGTCATGTTAGGCAAACTCAAACACACTGAGTTAAAAGGTAAATACATACATCATAATAGTGCAGCAGAGTTATCCTTTTACTGGCTACACCTGCAGAGGTCACATGCTGTAGGGTCCTGTTGCTCAGGCATTATCTCCAGTCAGATTCTCCAGTTGACCTTTATAACATTGTGTGATGTTTGAAGTCCTATAGATGTTGATGTCAATGTTTTGTTTTAATTTTCTGCAGTGTCATTTATGCATTTAATTAATTAATTGTTTGTTTTTATTTTGCATTTTATTTAAGGGCCAGTACATTTCATTATCTTCTATTTAAGTCGTGCTTCATGGCTAGGTTGCATGATTTGAACTCATGATTTAAATGGTTTCATTTACATATCGCATGTTTCAGATGACGGATGATACATTTTGTCTTTAACACACATTGTTTCAGTAGAAAATGACTAAAACCTCAGCTCATCATTGATGTCTTGTAGATACTGATTCATATCGTGATCTTTGTGGTTTACTGTATCTGTCATGTGTCTAAATGTTATCCACTCTGAGTCCGGTGCGAATTAGTAATATTAATTAATAATGTTAATATTGTTATACACGTGTCATGTTTCTGGAACTTTAGATGCTGCTATAATATTGCTTGGAGTTTCATGTCTTGTTAATGATGATTCATGTTTTAGATCACCTTGATGCATCTTGTATCAAATCTTGCAGGTGTCCTTATAAACGCTGGCCTATATTTTATGTTGAAAAATGTATTAATGTGAAACATGTTTGAGGTCCTTTAAATATGTATTTTGACGTTGTGACAGATGTCAGGTTCTTTAGATGTTAATATTTATGATGCGACATGTTTCAGGTCCTGTAGATCGTTTTTAGTGCTGAGTCATGCTCTTCTGGTAACTTTCATGATTCCATCCTGCTCAAGAAATGCTTTCCAATCCTCAAATCCAATGCTTAATGTCTTCATGATTCTTTCTACACCTGTCTCTTTTTTTTTCTTATTGTAATGTTTGACTTCTCAGCTTGCTGTCCTCGCCCTACCACTCCCTTCAACCCTCTTTCCCCCCTTCATCAATCCAGCTTGTTGAAATTCACACGTCACCCACCCATTCCTCGTTCATCAAAAACCCAGTGTATCAGAAACTGTAACTAGATTCTGATGAAACCTTTTTTTTCTTCTCTCAGTTTTACCTTCAATCTTTAATCCCTTCAGCCCTTCTTGCATCCCTTCATCTTCCCGTCTGTTACCCCCTCCTTTCTTTCCTTACAAATAGGTTTCAATGTCTTAAAATTGAATGCACAATCTCATGATGAATTGCACTTTGAATATTTAAAGAGTCAGCTTCTTGTCCTCCGCCTGCCACTCCTTAAAGCTCGCTATCCCTCCCTTTAACATCCCAGTTAGTGTCTGTGTGAGATTCAGCCTCTCGTCCCACACCCATCCTTCCTTACTTATCCCAAAACATACATTTCTGAATAGTTAAATGTGTCTATTCATGTTAAATATACCCTTTTCCCTTTCATATTTTTCCATCTTTCTGTCTTCCATGCAAACAGCCTGTGGTTTACCACCCACCACTCCCTCCATCCCTCTGTCCCTCCCTCCGTCTATCCCGTGCATCTGTTTAATATCTATAGTCCAAATGTCCTATCCCTTCATTCATCATTTCATCCATACTGTCATCTTTCCCTCTGTCAATTTCCTATCATAAAAAACCTGAAGGATCTCATCAAAAGAAACAATAATACACTGAAATGTCTCTTTTTATTTCTTTCATAACTCAAGTCTCTTGACTTCATCTCTCTGTCAAACATTCATCCTCTCACAGCATCATTTTTTCTCCACCTGTCTTTTCTATCTGAATTTCTGTCCAAAATTTTACTTCTTTATCCATGTTTCTTTCACGTTCTGTAATAATTCTTTAAAATCAAATTTACATTTTGTTTTTGAATCTAACTTTTCATCCACCCCTCTACCCAGCCATCCACCCATCCGCCCTCTCACCAACATAGAGGACCCCCTCCTTGGTCTTGCTGGCGGCCTCCCCAACTCCGGCCTTCGTCTTCTCTGCGGCGGCCACCACTCCGTCCTTGGCCAAGTTGAGTCCTTTCTTAAATGCATCCATGTTGCTTTACTTCTCTTGGTTTTATGTTTTTTTTCTCTGTTCTTCCTCTTCTGCTGTGTCTGTCTCAGTAGTCTCGCCTCTGCTCTTCTGTCTGCGATCTGTTCTTCCTGCTAATGGATGAGAGAGAAAAGGGGTGGAGAGAGTGCACGTGAGAGAGGGAGAGTAAGTAATGCTGGTGAGAAAGGGAGAGAGAGAGACTGTGAAAGAGAAAGAGAGACAGTGATATATAGCAGCAACTTGGGACTCTTGTTGTGTAGCAGAGAGAGAGAGAGGGAGAGAGAGAGAGAGAGAGAGAGGGAGAGGGAAAGAGAGAGAGAGAGAGAGAGAGAGGGAGAGAGAGAGAGGGAGAGAGAGAGCGAGATAGAGAGAGAGAGAGAGAGAGAGAGAGAGAGTCAATTGGTTCAAAGAGGTTGAGATCTACTGGTGTTAAAAGAAAAGAAAGAAGTGGATGATAGGGAAAGAGAGAGAGGGAGAGGAGGAAATTGATTGGCGGTAAAGACAGAGCGAAAACAGTTAGAAAGGAGAAGAGAGAGAATACATTTAATATTTGTCCCTTAAGTTCTTGCAATGTGCAGCTCTTCAACTTTATAAATCCAGCAGGTTTATACCAACGTCACCTGCCAAAAGGTTTTTTTCTCCAACATTTCTTCAGCAAATGAAGAATCAATCTAGAGCTAAATATTTTATAGTTTTATATTAGCTTTACTTCTCATATATTTGTTAGCTTTCCTAGTTTATCCCGACACGTACGTATTGTTTTTTTTCTTGAATGATGGACATTAGCTACTTTGTAGAATAACCCGATGCACTCAATTGTACACACCTTATGATACAAACAGCTTACTGAAATCTCTGTAAAATTTAGACTGAAGTTGCTAGCATGTTTTTTTAGTGCAAGGTATTTCTTTTTTTTCTTTTTTTTTTAAGGTAATCTAAATCTAATACATATGGTATACTAAGTACAGACAGTGGCGGGAAGAAGCAGTGTGCTTCCAACACACACATACACTCGGTCATATTATATTTTGTAGAATTGGATCCATAAGTGTTTCTTCAAACACACTGACAAACACATAAACATAACTACACACACACATATATACTTACACACAAGCTAGCATCTGCCTTATGCAACTAGACTGGCAATGTTAGCTGAAGGACTCCCACACGTTGAGAAGTTTTTTGATGAAATCTAAAAATACACCACATAAAGTAAGCTTTGTTTTTTTTTTTAATCTCTATGCCCCTCCTCCTGTCATCTTATCCTCCTTCTTGTAAAGACGGAACAAAAAATAAGATAATGTCGGCTGGCCTTTAATATGTTTGGAGAGCAACTTCAGCAAAGCTGCAAAGGCTCCATTAAAGTGATTGTTGATTGTTTTTTGCATGTAAAAAAATCAATCCAATTATGCTGTTATCCAGCAAACAGATACTCTTAAATCCTACTCTATTTACTGTATGTACTGGCTCTTGTGGTGATGAAAACATTTTAGAGGAAGAATATTAGAGTGCACACCACTTCCATCCAGAGGAATAAGATCTATGAGGCATGAGTTGTTTTCATACATGCACTCATGAAAAGTCTGTCCCGGAAATCTTCCTGAGTTGCATAGTCACACGTTTGTCACAGCGGGATGTTAACAATGTCCGACGGAAGGAGAGCATTCACAGAGTGACAGAGTCTGATTTTTTGATGAAAGTTTTTGTGTAATAGGACTTAATCACAGTATAAAAAGAGAACAGAGTAGAACATGGTGGCAAATAGACAAGAGAATGAAGCTGCTTTATTACGCGCACAACTATCATTTATTTTTAACGTTTGTTAGTTTATGATGAGATTTGTTTGGGGCACCATAGCGCTCCATGTACGGAGGCTGTGGTCCTGCGGGCGGGTGACTTCGGTTCAAGTGGCTTTTTCCTGCATGTCGTTCCTCACTCTTTCTATCTCCCAGATTTCTGACTCTGTCCTCTGCCCTGTTTCTGAAATAAAGACATCAAATAAAATAAACCTTTAAAAAAGTTTGATTGATTGAAATGTCATGCCACAAGCTGAATGTGTGCTCAAAAGCCAGCTGGGCAGATACTTTGGTTAGCTAGCCAGCTAGCATGCTGCTAAAATGTCAATACAAAATCAGTTAAGTCTTATCAGTGATGACCAAAAACAAGCGGGGAGAGATGGGTCAAGAAGAATAAGACACAGAAGGTGAAAAGGAGAGGAGTGTAGACGTCCCTCCTCCCTTTCTGATGGGAACCTGTATGTGACTCAGCATATCACACACACACACACACACACACACACACACACACACACACACACACACACACACACACACACACACACACACACACACACACACACACACACACACATACACACACAGTATTCTACCCGAGAAACCCTTGGCTGCCTCACCCCTTCTCTGATTGGCTGACAGCTGGCGCCGGTGTATTTTTAGACCCATTTTAGTTCTTCTTTTTTTTTCTAGGATAGATTGGCGGCCGATGAGCGGCAGCATAATGGGCTGCTGTGGGTTCCCCTGGCGTTGAGAACTGTCCGCCCAATATCACTGATGATAGCTGGCATCAGCCTGCAGACACACACACACACACACACACACAAACCCATATACCCTGAGTAATGCAATACTTTATTGATTTCCAGAAAGAATTCAATGATGGCAGCACAGTCTCACACACACACACACACACACACACACACACACACACACACACACACACACACACACACACACACACACACTATTGATGATTTATGTTATTAATCTGTGTAATGAAATTCAATCACCAAAGCCTTTTTTTCCCCTCACTCGCTAACTGCCGAATGTCATTTGCGTGTCAAACGCAAAAATGTATTTACTCTTTGGTCTCAATTGTTTGTTTATGATTTTTCTTATAAACTAAGTGCCTTGGCTGTTTGCTCATAACTTAAAAAGTTCAGTTCAGTTCTTTAAAATATTTTCAGGTAATTATAACATGAAGTTAATATTTCATCTTTTATAAATTATGCGTCTCTGCTGCCAGTAGACTTGAGCATGTTTGTGATTGGTCATATGCTGCAAACCCCGCCCCTTTTATTAATGTTAAGTTCCGCACCTCACATAAAGTGCCAGGGACAGATGAAGCCAAATGAACTTCAGAGACCCTCTCCATTGTAAGTTGTAAGATATTTACAGATACAAGCAACAGCTTTACTATAGGTACTTTCTCATATAGCAACACCTAAAGTTGTTTGTAATACATGTATTACCAGGGCTTTAATAGAGTTTTAACGCATTTGAATTATTTTACAATTTATCGTCTTTGAATCAGAGACAGTGTTTCCTTCCTACAACTCATATTAGAATTTCAGCCCAAACCACATGGCTGATATTTGATTTGGGATCTCCACACAGTGAGTATACTAACTATGGGTACAATACTGTTATCTGAGATTAAAGGCTAGCCAAAAGAAATAAAGCGAAAGCTGTGACATAAACAACTGTAACAGATGGTGGACTCAATTATGAGAAGAGTTTTTGAGTGTTTGTGAAGCATCCAGTTCTCGGAGGATCTCAGGATGGTACAACTCGTTCCAAATCACATCTGTGTGGAATCCAACACCTGCCTGCTAATTTGTAGTTTCAGTGTTTTAATGAGTGTGTGTGTTTGTGTGTGTGTGTGTGTGTGTGTGTGTGTGTGTGTGTGTGTGTGTGTGTGTGTGTGGTTTTTTTCACACATGCCTCTCTGTAATCATTTTGGACTCATAACATCAGTGACATGAGACTTTCTGCAAACTCAGCAACAACTCAAAGCAACCATGAACAGACCTCAGGTCAACCTCAGCCAAACACAAATTGCCCCTTCAAGTTTAGTCATCTTGTATCCTGGACTCAGGTTAGAAGTGATCCAGATAGGTATGAGTCTCACATTTCCCACATATTGCTGCTGAAAACCTGTAAGTATCTGAATATCAGTGGGCAGAGCTGAGGCACCAAATGTTCATTTAACAAACAACCAATCTATTCGAAACTAAAAATTCCATTTGCAAACGTTAAAAGCAGAATGGGACAAATTCATATAGTTACATATGGGAGGACTGAAAGCCAAAATTAAAATCTAAAATCTTATAACTAAAAAAAAAAAGCACAGGGGGATGAGGCTCCCCCTTGTACTGCAGCCCAGCTAAGACCTCTCATATGCTGGTTTTACCCTGGGTACTCTGCTAGGTGGAAGGAGTTAAAGCTGAGAATGGATGATAAGAACCCAGTACAAGTGATCATTTCTGATTAGTCAATGATTTAACATCTTCTAGAAAGAGTGAATCCTTTTATTAACTTAACGTATAACGTATGGAAGAGTAAGTGACAAAAGATCAAATATATGGGCAAGAAAATATATTAGAGCCTACAATATCCTGAAATGGACACTAAAGTAAGAAAAGAGTACGTTCCTCTCTTTAAAGATTTCTCCAAATGTGGCACTACTATACTTTGGAACGTTTAGAAAAGAGGCTCACTTTGAAAACTTAGACGATAGAATAAAGATGATCTTTATGTCTGGTTTCAATTCTGAACACAATACTAAAAAACTATTTCTAAAATATACAGCTGCCTAAAATCAGGAGAAACTTTGTATAAGGATAAGTGGGGGAAGCCGGTGACCTAGTGGTTAGAGCTTGCGCCTCATGTACAGAGGCTAAAGAGCTTGACACAGGCAACCCGGGTTTAAATCTGATCTGTGGCTCCTTTCCCGCTTGTCATTCCCCACTCTCTCTATCCAAGAGTCCTATCAACTGTCCTCGTTCTACAATAAAAAATAAAAAAAATCCTTAAAAATGGATGAATAGGATTCAGGAGGTAATAGGGATCTACATGAGAGGATCCACTGTGCCATATAAAGTGGACATCTATAGAGTGTCTTGTTTGGAGGGAATCATTGATGAGGTGTTTGGTTCAAGTTTTCATACTTTTTAACAGAAACAACATAAAGCCACTTACTCAATCTGCTGGAGGCAATACCAAACTGTAACTGCAAACCATTATATTTTTTTGTTTTGCCTTGTCCTAGAATATATTTAGTCAGGGTGGACCATTTTATCAAACCCCAAAGATTTTAAGAGACTTATCCAAGAAAAAATATCCCCAATCCTCCCCCTTACCTAATGTTGCATATAGTTCTGTTCTGCTGTGA